ATATATACGAGACTTCTGCCATCGCTACGTAAAAAAATAGATAAGGGACCGAGATGAACATAAAAGTCCCATATCATTTTATAATATTTACAATAATAATCAAGATATTAATTATTAAAAATTACCGTATTAGCCCAGCCCGCTGGCAAATGCAAGCGCGCGGTAAGATACTCCCGTCCGGCGATCATCGTTGATAGGCGCGTGAGAAATTGTTTACTTCAAACGGCAATAGCTACGCACGAGTCGCTTAAATAAAATTTTATCATTTATTTTGTACTATTACTCTTTAATTCTTTATGATAAAAACTTAATTTGAGTAAAGCAATTTTATTATATAATAATATTTTTAAAGCTAAATAATTATTACTACTTGGATTAATAAAGAAAGTCTTGAATGGGTAAAAAAATATACATATCACTCGGTTTTTATTATTTTTAAATTAAAGATACTATCGCTTGAATTTTATTTTTTAAAATAGCGGTATATCAAATCTTTTACAAATGAAATATATAACTTTGCTAAGGTGAATTTGTAGCTTAATGTTTATAAGACTATAACTTGGCGCCAATCATTGATATCAAATCTTTTATAAAAATAATAATGACAACGTTTCTTAAAGTAAAAATTTACGAGTCGGATTTTGTGTAGCAATATCTCCGCTCATAGGACACGTATGTCCCTTTACTTGATACCCTTTTTTTAGAAAGATAATTTTGTATCATTTTATTCCCTGATTGCCAGTACGAATTAAACCTATCTATTCTACATGCCAAAAAATTCGGAAGGAGGCACACAGATAACTATTCTCTCATCGCAAAATGATTTAGCAAAAACTCTGTTTAGAAAAAGCAGAAACAATCGTTATATTTGTCTGCCGATTTCGCGTAAGTACCTAACGGCTCCGAGTATCTCAGCTATGTGTGCGTCTATACGTGTGCCTAATCTAATGATACCGCGTGTTCAGCTTTGCTCTTAAAGCTATAGAGCCGTAGCGATATATTCTATACCATCAGTATACATGATAGCAAGTCACGATTGATCTCATCGGTTTTATCAAAATCTATCGATGGATGTATCTAACTGCTAAAAATGTTTCAGAAATGTTTTAGCAAATGTATGTGGATATGCTCGCTACGCCCAAACCGTTACGCAGCAAATTCTCAACTGCCTAGTATATCGATATGAAAAGCCAAAATTATTATTCAGAACTAAAATTATTAGTATTAAATAACGGTACCCAGCTGAAATTCGAATTATTAATTTAACATTTAAAAACATTCAAAATTCAGCACTAATTTGTGTCAATATAATAGGTACTGCAAATTCAATCAAATGAACAAACCGCTTAATAAAACTACGATCGAAAGCAATCTACTATATTGGAAAGCAATCATACCGAAAGATATCATTATGTCATGAAATATATTATCGTTTATCTTTCGTATTAGAATGTTTTTCAAACGTGACTTTTTTAAGCTCAAGTGCATTCTTAAAGATAAATATCAATAAATGTATAAATATTAATAGATTTGCGCTTATAGTCAGTAAAGTCACTGTTAGAGTATGTTAAAGTATTTTAACGTATATTTTTAGAAGAACAAATTAATAATGATTATTAATCCACTTAATGTTGTCAGACTTTTATTGGCTTCCATAAGTTCGATATATCTAGAAACGTCAATAATTGAAGCAGAAATAAAATTGAAAGAAAACATTCAAGAATTATTATTAGATAGTATTTTTCATTACAATGGATTAGAAATAACAAAAGAAATATGTCTTGATTTCCAAGAACCTTATAAATTGCATACTTTTTGTTGGAAATATAAGGATGAATTTTTGATAAAAATGAAACGAAAAATCATTACGGTCAGAGATGATTTCAAAACAGAAAGTCTTAACCATTTGAATGAAAAACGATGTGATTCTTTAAAAAATTCTCCACATACAAAATGAAACCGATATCGAAACGAAAATTACAGAAGAGATATGGAATACACACAGATAAAAAATAATGACGCAACAGAAACATTGCCTGATGAAGAAGATCATATTAGCACTGTATTTGAGGACAATAAAGACTCGATACGAACAAGAAACCAGATCCAACTTTCGTCAACAAATTGCTAAAGAAAAGAAAACAAGGAAATCATAAAGAAACTCATAAAATTCCAGAAAGGTATACTGATTGTGCTTTTTTAACTTTTCACGCAGTGAAACAGATCCAGATAAACGAAAATTAGCAGTTATATAAGAAGAAAAGGAAGCAAATTAAAAAAAATCTAGACATTGATAGATGCGGATGAATTACAAAGCATAAAATCATTAACAAGTCGATGGATATCGATTCAAAGTAAAAAATAACGGACAATACAAGGCGAGACTAGTAATTCGAGAATGTGAGCAGAAATATGATATAGATTATGATGAGGTATTCAGTCCCGTGGTAAGTTCAAATTCGTTAAGAATTTTATTTGCTTTAGCGGTGAATACAAACTCAGAAATAATAAATCATTTGATGTAAAAACTGTCTTTCTTTATGGTAATATAAAAGAAAATATTTACATTCACCAGAAGATTTCAACTATAATAACAAGTTATGTAAATTAATCAAATCTATGTACGGCTTGAAACAAGCATCTCTCAATTGGAATGAATGTTTCACAAATTTTTTAAAACAAAATAGCTTAGAACAATTAAAAACAATGTATTTTTAAACATAAGAAAGGTAGTTTACTATTGGCAATCTACGTAGATGACGGTATAATAATAAGTAAAGACATAAAAGAAATGAATAGACTTTTTGAAAATTTAAGAAAACAATGCGAAATAAAATTTGAAAGCGATTACGCGTCAGTTCGTTTTCACGGTTTTGCGGGATAGCATCAGTCGTTGCCAGGAAGAATAGAGAAATAAAATAGAGAAGATTTTGTGTAAGCTATGTACAGGTATATTTTTAAAGATTAAACACTATTTACAGCTAATTGGTTTTATAGTTTTCGTTTTGGCTGCTATTTAAAATATGTACACGATTAGATATGATTAGATATGATTTCAGTTTTAATCTCGGAATCGCGTTTATTGTTCGCCGAAAATGTTCGCAAATTCTGAAAATCGTATAATAGCTTCGCGGCTTTTCTGAAAATTCGGCACATCGCGATCGTGGGCGCGTGGCGCGGGGAAAGGGGATTCGTCGCACGTGGCGTTTGTTGCGATTGGCGATCAATTGAAAGTTTCATTGCGTTGAAGTCTTATTCCAGACGGATTTTCGGGCCGGAATCAGGACAGCTAGGAGTGTCCCGTTTGACCACGTTGCGATTGACTACAGCCACTCACAGTGGTGCCTAGAGGTTTTCCTCTGTTCAAACGCTATGAGTGGCTGATGGT